TGTTGTTACCCTGGTGTTGTTACCCCTGGTGTTGTGCCTGGTGTTACCTGGTGTTGTTACTGGTGTTTTCCCCTGGTGTTACCCTGGTGTTGTTACCCTGGTGTTACCCTGGTGTTACCACTGGTGTGTGTTACCCTGGTGTTGTTACCCTGGTGTTGTTACCCCTGGTGGTTACCCTGGTGTTTACCCCTGGTGTTGTTACCACTGGTTGTTACCACTGGTGGGTACCCTGGTGTTTGCTACCACTGGTGGTTATGGTGTTGTTACCCTGGTGTTGTTACCCTGGTGTTGTTACCACTGGTGTTGTTACCCTGGTGGTTACCCTGGTGTTGTTACCCTGGTGGTTACCCTGTGGTGGTTACCCTGGTGTTACCCTGGTGTTGTTACCCTGGTGTTACCCTGGTGGTTACCACTGGTGGTTACCCTGGTGTTGTTACCACTGGTGTTGTTACCCTGGTGGTTACCACTGGTGTTGTTACCACTGGGTGGTTACCACTGGTGTTTGTTACCACTGGTGGTTACCCTGGTGGTTACCCTGGTGTTGTTACCCTGGTGTTGTTACCCTGTGTGGTTACCCTGGTGTTGTTACCCTGGTGGTTACCACTGGTGTTGTTACCCTGGTGTTGTTACCCTGGTGGTTACCACTGGTGGTTACCCTGGTGGTTACCCTGGTGGCTACCACTGGTGATGTGTATGGTGTTACCACTGGTGTTGTTACCCTGGTGGTTACCCTGGTGGCTACCACTGGTGGTTACCCTGGTGGTTACCCTGGTGTTGTTACCCTGGTGTTGTTACCCTGGTGGTTACCACTGGTGTTGTTACCCTGGTGTTGTTACCCTGATGGTTACCCTGGTGGTTACCCTGGTGTGTTACCCTGGTGTTACCCTGGTGTTGTTACCCTGGTGTTGTTACCCCTGTGTGGTTACCCTGGTGGTTACCCCACTGGTGGTTACCCTGGTGTTGTTACCACTGGTGTTGTTACCACTGGTGGTTACCCTGGTGTTGTTACCCTGGTGTTGTTACCCTGGTGGTGGTTTTGGTTACCCTGGTGGTTACCCTGTGTGGTTACCCTGGTGTTGTTACCCCTGGTGTTGTTACCCCTGGTGGTTACCACTGGTGGTTACCCTGGTGTTGTTACCCTGGTGTTGTTACCCTGGTGTTGTTACCCTGGTGGTTACCCTGGTGGTTACCCTGGTGGTTACCCTGGTGTTGTTACCCTGGTGGTTACTACTGGTGTTGTTACCCTGTGTGGTTACCCTGGTGGTTACCCTGGTGGTTACCCTGGTGTTGTTACCCTGGTGGTTACCCTGGTGTTGTTACCCTGGTGGTTACCCTGGTGGTTACCACTGGTGGTTACCACTGGTGTTGTTACCCTGGTGGTTACCACTGGTGTTGTTACCCTGGTGTTGTTACCCTGGTGGTGGCATGGTGTTACCCTGGTGGTTACCCTGGTGGTTACCCTGGTGGTTACCACTGGTGTTGTTACCCTGGTGTAAGTGTTACCACTGGTGTTGTTACCCTGGTGGTTACCCTGGTGTTGTTACCCTGGTGTTGTTACCACTGGTGGTTACCCTGGTGTTGTTACCCCTGGTGGTTCCCCTGGTGTTGTTACCCTGGTGTTGTTACCCTGGTGGTTACCCTGGTGGTTACCCTGGTGTGTGTTACCCTGGTGTTGTTACCCTGGTGGTTACCCTGGTGGTTCCCACTGGTGTTGTTACCCTGGTGGTTACCCTGGTGGTTACCCTGGTGGTTACCCATGGTGGTTACCCTGGTGTTGTTACCACTGGTAGTTACCCTGGTGGTTACCACTGGTAGTTACCCTGGTGGTTACCACTGGTAGTTACCCTGGTGGTTACCACTGGTGTTGTTACCCTGGTGTGTTACCCTGGTGGTTACCACTGGTGGTTACCCTGGGTAGTTACCCAGGTGGTTACCCTGGTGTTGTTACCCTGGTGGTTCCCACTGGTTGTTTACCCTGGTGTTGTTACCCTGGTGGTTACCCTGGTGTTGTTACCCTGGTGTTGTTACCCTGGTGTTGTTACCCTGGTGGTTACCCTGGTGTTGTTACCCTGGTGGTTACCCTGGTGTTGTTACCCTGGTGTTGTTACCCTGGTGTTGTTACCCCTGGTGTTGTTACCCTGGTGTGTTACCCTGGTGGTTACCCCTGGTGTTGTTACCCTGGTGGTTACCCTGGTGTTGTTACCCCTGGTGTTACCCTGGTGGTTACCCTGGTGGTTACCCTGGTGTTGTTACCCTGGTGTTGTTACTCCTGGTGTTGTTACCTGGTGGTTCCCACTGGTGTTGTTACCCTGGTGGTTACCCCTGGTGTTGTTACCACTGGTGTTTGTTACCCTGGTGTTGTTACTGGTGTTGTACACTGGTGTGGTTACCCTGGTGGTTACCCTGGTGGTTACCACTGGTGGTTACCACTGGTGTTGTTACCCTGGTGTTGTTACCACTGGTGGTTACCCTGGTTTGTTACCCTGGTGGTTACCCTGGTGGTTACCCCTGGTGGTTACCACTGGTGGTTACCCTGGTGTGGTTACCCTGGTGGTTGCCAATGGTGGTTACCCTGGTGGTTACCCTGGTGGTTACCCTGGTGTGGTTACCCTGGTGTTGTTACCCTGGTGTTGTTACCACTGGTGTTGGTTACCACTGGTGGGTTGTTACCCTGGTGTTGTTACCCTGGGTGGTTACCACTGGTGTTTTGTTACCCTGGTGGTTACCACTGGTGGTTACCACTGGTGTTGTTACCCTGGTGTTACCACTGGTGGTTACCCTGGTGTTGTTACCCTGGTGGTTACCCTGGTGGTTACCCTGGTGGTTACCACTGTGTAGTTACCCTGGTGTTGTTACCCTGGTGGTTACCCTGGTGTTGTTACCCTGGTGTTGTTACCACTGGTGTTGTTACCCTGGTGTTGTTACCCCTGGTGTGGTTACCACTGGTGGTTACCACTGGTGTTACCCTGGTGGCTACCACTGGTGTTGTTACCCTGGTGGTTACCCTGGTGGTTACCCTGGTGGTTACCACTGGTGGTTACCCTGGTGGTTACCCTGGTGGTTACCACTGGTGGTTACCCTGGTGGTTACCCTGGTGGTTACCACTGGTGGTTACCACTGGTGGTTACCCTGGTGGTTACCCTGGTGGCTACCACTGGTGGTTACCCTGGTGGTTACCCTGGTGGTTACCCTGGTGGTTACCATGGTGTTGGTTACCACTGGTGTTGTTACCCTGGTGTTACCACTTGGTTACCCTGGTGTGTGGTTACCCTGGTGGTTACCCCTGGTGGTTACCCTGGTGGTTTCCCTGGTGGTTACCCTGGTGGTTACCCCTGGTGGTTACCCTGGTGGTTCCCACTGGTGGTTACCCCTGGTGGTTACCACTGGTGGTTACCACTGGTGGTTACCCTGGTGGTTACCCTGGTGGTTACCCTGGTGGTTCCCACTGGTGGTTACCCCTGGTGGTTACCACTGGTGGTTACCACTGGTGGTTACCCCTGGTGGTTACCCCTGGTGGTTACCCCTGGTGGTTACCACTGGTGGTTACCACTGGTGGTTACCCCTGGTGGTTACCCCTGGTGGTTCCCACTGGTGGTTACCCTGGCGGTTACCCTGGTGGTTACCCTGGTGGTTACCACTGGTGGTTACCCTGGTGGTTACCCCTGGTGGTTACCCTGGTGGTTACCCCTGGTGGTTACCCCTGGTGGTTACCCTGGTGGTTCCCACTGGTGGTTACCACTGGTGGTTACCCTGGTGGTTACCCTGGTGGTTCCCACTGGTGGTTACCCTGGTGGTTACCCCTGGTGGTTACCACTGGTGGTTACCCTGGTGGTTCCCACTGGTGGTTACCCTGGTGGTTACCCCTGGTGGTTACCACTGGTGGTTACCCTGGTGGTTACCCTGGTGGTTACCACTGGTGGTTACCCTGGTGGTTACCACTGGTGGTTACCCTGGTGGTTACCACTGGTGGTTACCCTGGTGGTTACCACTGGTGGTTACCCTGGTGGTTACCACTGGTGGTTACCCTGGTGGTTACCCCTGGTGGTTACCACTGGTGGTTACCCTGGTGGTTACCCCTGGTGGTTACCACTGGTGGTTACCCTGGTGGTTACCCCTGGTGGTTCCCACTGGTGGTTACCCTGGTGGTTACCCTGGTGGTTACCCTGGTGGTTACCCCTGGTGGTTACCACTGGTGGTTACCCTGGTGGTTACCCTGGTGGTTACCACTGGTAGTTACCCTGGTGGTTACCCTGGTGGTTACCCCTGGTGGTTACCCCTGGTGGTTACCCTGGTGGTTACCCTGGTGGTTACCCTGGTGGTTCCACTGGTGGTGGTTACCCTGGTGGTTACCCTGGTGGTTACCCTGGTGGTTACCCATGGTGGTTACCCTGGTGGTTACCCTGGTGGTTACCCTGGTGGTTACCCTGGTGGTTCCCACTGGTGGTTACCCTGGTGGTTACCCTGGTGGTTACCCTGGTGGTTACCCTGGTGGTTACCCTGGTGGTTCCCACTGGTGGTTACCCTGGTGGTTACCCTGGTGGTTACCCTGGTGGTTCCCACTGGTGGTTACCCTGGTGGTTACCCTGGTGGTTACCCTGGTGGTGGTTACCCTGGTGGTTACCACTGGTGGTTACCCTGGTGGTTACCCTGGTGGTTACCCCTGGTGGTTACCCTGGTGGTTCCCACTGGTGGTTACCCTGGTGTTGTTACCATGGTGTTGTTACCCTGGTGTTGTTACCCTTGTATCCACCAGCACAAATATGCATCAACCAGCGTAACTCTACATCCACCAGCACACATGTACATCCACCTGCATGCCTGTTGATCCACCAGCGCACACATATACATCCTCCAGCTCATCTGTACATCCACCAGCACACCTCAACATCCATCAGCACGACTGAACCTCCACCATCACGCCTGTACATCCACCAGCACGCCTGTTTATCCACCAGCACGCCTGTACATACACCAGCACACATGTACATCCACCAGTACACATGTACATCCACCAGTACACCTTTACATCCACCAGCAAATCAGTACATCCACCAGCACACCTGTACGTCCACCAGCACACCTGTACATCCAACATCACGCCTGAACATCAACAAGCATGCCTGTACATCCACCAGCACACCTGTACATCCACCAGCACACCTTTACATTCAGCAGCAACTCAGTACATCCACCAGCACACCTCAACATCCACTAGCACAACTCAACATCCACCAGCACGTCTCAACATCCACCAACACACCTCAACATCCACCAGCACACCTCTACATCCACCAGCACCGCTCATCACCCCAACGCCACCATCACACCGCCTCAACATCCACCAGCACGCCTCAACATCCACCAGCACGCCTCAACATCCACCAGCACGCCTCAACATCCAACCGCTCGCCTCAACATCCACCATCGCACGCCCTAACCTTAACCAGCACGCCTCAACGTCCTCCAGAGCCCGCACCACCACCGACACCTCAACATCCACTCAGCCCCACCACCAAGCCGTCAACATCCACCCATCACGCCTCAACATCCACCAGCACGCCTCAACACCATCCACCAGCACGCCTCAAACATCCACCAGCTCGCCTCAACATCCACCAGCACGCCTCAACATCAACAGCACGCCTAACCATC